ACTCCAGTTAGGACATTTCTCTGATGAAATACTTCCAGTATTAACAGATTTTGTTGCCATGTTCATATTGTGGGGGATGGGGGGGGGTCCCTGACCACTGACCACTGACCAGTCCCACTCAGCTCATCATGTCTGTGGATGGATCAGTCTGCTGACAATGACATGAATGTAAAGTCTTGTGTTGGAACCACGTGGAACTGCTTTGCCTGCTGTAATGTATGACTGCATTTGCCCCTCCCCACCCCTGACTACCCCACCCCCCGACTACCCCACCCCACCCCTGACCACTCCACCCTGCTGCACTCGGGTCACTATGTTAAGAGAGAAATAAATATTTTGTGCTTGATGCCATGTCTGCTGTTTTTGAATTCACATGTTGAAGACTGTGTTGTTCTATTGAGCTGCACACCTTCAAAGTACACATTTAAACACACACACGTGGAATTGTTTTGAAAATGTGTTTCAATGTCTATTGAAAAGGAATAAAGAGTGTAGTTTGTAAAGACTCACTCATTATTGTTTATATATGTTAATATGAATTGATGTATAGCCACTGCAGTTTTTTTTACTACTACTATACTATAAAGTCATATGGTTTAATGTACGATTCTGTTTAGTTTAATGGTAAAGTTATAGTTCAGAATCATAGGCAAACACATTAGACTTACAAATTAAAATAAATCAATTTATTAAATCATTCATTAAAAACATAACTATTAGCGGTACAGATATATTAGTTAGTATCCTGTTGATGTTGTGCGTGTTTATTATTAATCATATTATTGGTTCTAGTAGTAATAATAGTCGTATTGTTGTTCGCGGTTCACTGCTGTTTCGCCCGTTGACTGTAGTTTTACCAAATCTTTTAAACAAACCGTCAGATTCGCGACAATGAACCAGTATTCTATTTGCTCGTACGTGTTGTATTATGTTCCCTAGTTAAATAAAAAAATATAATAACGTATAACTACAAATATTAACACATAAATATTGTGGTAAGTCTATGAGGTGTAATACAAAATAGACCCTGGTTTGTGTGGCGAATGTGTCGACGGCGCGCCTCTCAGGCGCAGAGCTACAGCAATGTTACCTCTTTTGTTCAAGCTACTCTCTCAGTTTATGCCTACACAAATCAGTGATGGTGATGTTCTAATGTTTTTTAAAAACATTACACAATTCCTGGGCTTCCCGTGTCCTCGGCTGGAATAATCAAACGGACTGAAAATTGATCTGCAGCTCTTCCGCGGCCCCGTGAGCCTGTCGAAGCCCGCATTCTTCAGCAACGTGGAGTAGTAAGTGTTTACAGCGTCGCTCCTCTGCAGCTTTAAGCGGGAGAACAGACTTTCGTTGTTGTTTAAAAAACACTGTTTCGCTTTTAGAAACTCACTCGCAATTCAACTGTACCGATATGGTTTCAGTCAAAGCACCCAAACAGCAGCGAACGTCAAAACAAACCTGCCTGGTTCCCAACGGGCTGTAATGTTTTACACATTTTTACACCAAAATGCGCAACTATTGTCTAAAAATCCATATATTTGTCAAGTATAGATGTTTGCCCCATGCTTGGCTCCATCATAATCAACATACATGTACTTGTTTCGTCAACATTAAGCTTTAAGGGGGTCAGCGGGATATTTGTGGGACTACACGTCAATGTGGAGGGAAATACGGTGTGATTTTAATTTACAGCCGTTATAACGCAAACAACTATTTTGTTCCTTATTTGTAAAATTCACTGAAAGACAGTGTGTGAATATCCCACAGAGCGGCGTTTCTGAGTGTTGTTGGCTAACGTCTGTTCAGTCACATTCACTTTTACACACGAATTAAAGCAAACAGTTGTGAGTTCGCTACAAGAAGAAGAAACAGCCCATAGTTGTGTTGGTAAAAAAAGGCTTCAGTGAATTACACCGTGAGACAACGTGTCTGTGTTTGTCCTGTGTTCTGGAACGGACGCCCGAGCGGCATTCTCGGTGTTGTTAGCCTGCTAACAGAGTGCAGAGGTTCATTGTTTGAGGAAGAAGCATGCTAAGCTAACATTAGCCTTCATTCTGCTCACCGGAGCTAACCTGGCCGTTGTGTGTGTGTGTATATATATATATATACATTTATTAATTCACTGGCCAGGGACGAACACACACAGACACTCATAAAGACTTTATTGTTAGCTGTGCGTTATGCTAACCAGCCACACACTTGTGTATTTACACGGCAGCAGACTCGGCGGCAGATGCTAATACACTGAGCTACAGTGCAGTGTTTTTACAGTAACAGGAGAAATTAGTGTCAGAGTTAGAAGTGTTGTGTCTCTGCATCACAGCAGGTAAAGCTACCCACGACTTTTCATAGGTCGATGTCTACAAGTGTATAATGAGCAGAAGTAAAACCGTTTCGTGTATTTAGTGGTTTGGCTTTAAAATGTAAAAAAAAAAAACAACTAAAACTCTAAACTCATGACTTCAGCCCCACAACCCTCGACCCCCAGCTACAATCAAAGTGATAGTTGATGCAGTGGTTTGGGGAGAGTTTGTGTTTTGGATTTATTTATTATTACTTTTTGCGTTTTATATACTTACGTATTGTTATTCACGGTTCATCTGATTGGAAATCTAACGCTAATTCTTCTCTGGTCTTTCTTCATGTTCTCCTTGCAGATGTAACCTTGCGGAGCGTCTGTCCCAGCAGTGGCTGTTGGCACCATGGGACTAGACTTCGATGTCAAGACATTCTGTCACAACTTGCGGGCCACCAAGCCGCCCTACGAGTGCCCTGTGGAGACTTGTCGCAAGGTTTACAAAAGCTACAGTGGCATTGAGTATCACCTTTATCACTATGACCACGACAACCCGACCCCCCCACAGACTTTACCCCAGAAGAAGAGAAAAGGACGGCCTCCTCGATCTTCTCTGGCTGGGTCAGGTGATACCGATGACGGTGGAGGTACTGGAGATGGCGGGCCGGGGCAGGGGGGGAACACCCCCGGTAGCCCCAACCGGTCGGAGCGCTCTCACTCCCCCGGCCGAGAGACGATGACTTACGCCCAGGCCCAGCGCATGGTGGAGCTGGATTTCCAGGGACGCATCCACCGCATTTGTATCTTTGAGAACATTGATGTGGTGTCGGAGGAGGACAGTGATGCTGATGATGCTCTACCCTCTGGCGCTGGGGGGAACCTTGGGGGGGTTTGCAATGGCAGTGATGTTGGAAACGGCGGCAGTGAGGGAGGAGGTAGTGGCAAAGACCGGCCGGATGTTCTGTCCTCTAACGGTGGCAAAGCCACTCCGAAGGCCGGCAAGCACAAGAGCAAAGAAAAGAAAAGAGACGGCTCCTCCCATTATCACAGCGCTCAGTCCGGGCCTGCGGTCAAACTCCCCGAGGCCGTTTTCAGAGAGCTGGACCAAGAAAGACCCGACGCTCCTCCACGGCCGTCTTCTTACTACAGGTTTGAAGAAATTTGTTTTTAAGAACAGTTCATTTGTAGAGATTTCAGACATAAATCTTTACTGTCCAACAATATTCACACCACACATTTATCCTAAAGTTTCTGTCTCCTCCGTCTTCTTTAATGTGTTCACTGGTTCAGGGTGAGGCAGTTTTTGTTGTTTATAGTAAAATACTCCATTTCATTAAATGGTTGGTGTCCAACCTCTAACTCTGTCCACACTTTTTTGTCTTGGGAGCCACCAGGCTAAAGTGATCGGCCTACATTCAAACCTCAAATAAATATATACTAACTCATATAAACTGAATATGTTATTATATACATTATATCTTATATATTTGTACTGCCTGACTCAGTACTTCTATGATCCTTACATTAGCCCCAGTGTTCTGTTCCAGTTGCATCTATAATTGTAATTCATATTTTTAGATGTGATCAGGATCCACCAGGCTGTTATCACTGGCCTTTGTTGGTGGATCACACTGTGATCGATCAGTGATCAGTTTCTCCTGAGAACCTGCTCCACAGAAGGAGCTCATTAGAACCGTCTCCAGGATGACTTCCTGTCGTGAGGTGTGACGTCGTAGTTCTGCTGCTGATCAGAATCAGAATCAGAAAAACCCGGTTGATCTGTTGATGTTGCAGCTGCTGCAGGAGCGTCTCATTAACTGGATACAAATATATGATGTTTAGAAATGACCCGACGATGACGGACGTAACGATGCATCGATTAATAACTGTTACAAACGTGTGTGAGTCCTTCTCTCTGACGCCACAGTCTCAGAGTTGACCTTTAACCTGTGTGTGTTTTTCTCACTCCTCTCTGCTGGCGTTCAGGTACATAGACAAGTCCGTGGAGGAGCTGGATGAGGAGGTGGAGTATGACATGGATGAGGAGGACTGCATCTGGCTCGAAATCATGAATGACAAGCGGCGGTGTGACAGCGTGACGCCCATTCCTCAGGAGGTCTTTGAATACCTCATGGATCGCTTGGAGAAGGAGTCGTACTTTGAGAGCCACAACAAGGTAGATTTGAGGAGTGTGTGTTCTGTGGTTGTGCGGCGTTTCCACCGCCCGATCGCTGACGTCCTCTCCCGCCCTCTGCTCAGGCCGACCCCAGCACCTTAATCGACGAAGACGCCGTCTGCTGCATCTGTAATGACGGCGAGTGTCAGAACAGCAACGTGATCCTGTTCTGTGACATGTGCAACCTGGCCGTGCACCAGGAGTGCTACGGCGTGCCCTACATCCCAGAGGGTCAGTGGTTGTGTCGCCGCTGCCTGCAGTCTCCCAGCCGAGCCGTGGACTGCGCTCTGTGTCCTAACAAGGGCGGGGCCTTCAAGCAGACGGACGACGCGCGCTGGGCACATGTGGTGTGCGCGCTGTGGATCCCAGAGGTAAACCACCGCCGCAGCGCACGGAGACGTTACATAACAGGTCCAGTTACATAACGGTGCAGAGACTGAGGTGGTGCAGAAATCTGGGTTCTCCACTCAGAGCAGGTGTGAGGACGTGATGTCATTCACACTGGGTATGAATAATGAGACTGTTTGTTTAGATATCAGTCTCTAAAATCAGCAAATATACAATAAGTATATATATATATATAAGTAGATATAAGTGGGAAAAAAATCTAAAATGGTATTATCAGTTCACGGGGGGGGGGGTATATTTTCTTGTCACAACATGTGGAGGTAGTGAAGATGAAAGAAGGAAAGACTTCACAGGGATCAGTGGGCTGCACAGTGGGCTGCACAGTGGGCTGCACATATATCAGCTGAACCACCAACATAGAGCAGATGACCGGCTTCTTCTAACAGTAGAACAACTGTAACAGTGCAGTGAGTTTGTAGTAGACTGGTTCACCTTCACCTGGACGACTGTTGACATGTGACCGTCTGTGTGGCGTTCCCTCAGGTCTGCTTCGCCAACACGGTCTTTCTGGAGCCGATCGACAGCATCGAACACATCCCTCCCGCCCGATGGAAGCTCACCTGCTACATCTGCAAACAGCGCGGTTCAGGCGCCTGCATCCAGTGTCACAAGGCCAACTGTTACACAGCCTTCCACGTCACCTGTGCCCAGCAGGCCGGGCTCTACATGAAGATGGAGCCGGTCAGAGAGACCGGGGCCAACGGCACGTCCTTCAGTGTCCGCAAGACGGCCTACTGTGACATCCACACGCCCCCGGGTTCCACCCGACCCTTGGCGGGAGTCGGTGGTGCTAGCTTGGGCTCGTCCAACAGCGAAGGTGACCTGGAGGACGACGACGAGCCCAGCATCGGCCACGACGAAGATTCCAAGGGATGGAGCTCGGAACGAGCCAAGAGGGCGAAGGCAAAGTCCAGGCTAAAAATGAAGAAGGCACGAAAGATTCTGGCTGAGAGGAGAGCGGCCGCCCCCGTGGTGTCGGTGCCCTGTATCCCTCCTCACAGGTAAAGGTGGACGTCCTGTCCTAACGTGTCAGTGTTTTGGTGAAGGTGTGTTGTGGTTGAAGACTCTCTCCCGTCTCCACAGACTCAGTAAGATCACCAGTAATCTGACGGTGCCCAGGAAGAGCCAGTTCATGCAGCGACTGCACAGTTACTGGACGCTGAAGAGACAAAGTCGGAACGGCGTCCCCCTGCTCCGGAGGCTCCAGACGCACCTGCAGTCGCAGCGACACATCGACCCCCTCCCGCCACAGCCTCTGTCACAGATCCCTGCTGTAAATGAGTCCCGCGGTTCTGTCCCAGTCTGTCGTCCTTCAGCCGCGCTGAGCGGCTGTCCTGACGGGACGGTGTCTTTGTTCTTGTTGACTTTGCAGATCGACAGTGAGGAGAAACAGGCAGCGTTGAAGGAGCAGCTGAAGGCCTGGCAGCGACTGAGGCACGACCTGGAGAGAGCCAGGCTGCTGGTGGAGCTCATCCGCAAGAGAGAGAAACTCAAGAGGGAGACGGTCAGACCCTGGTTCTACTTACCTACTACTGACAGTCGGGGGGGTGGGGGGTGGTGGTATGGTCAGGAAGCGTATCGAGATATGGGGGCAACGATAGGATGTACTGCTGTATATATTCACAGATGTACTGCAATACTGCAGTCAGGATTATATTGAGTTGCCCCCCCCATCCTAGTCTCAGACTCTGCCCCCCCC